AGATGTGTATAAGAGAGAGCGACACTGCTGGCGGCGCATTTCATAATAGTATAAACATACTACAGTATAAAAAATCATATAAAATACATATAAAAATAACAGTAAAAAATAAGAAAAATGGTTGTACGCGTCCAGAATGATGGAAACTATCTCCGTGTCTTTTTTTTAATGGTAGGTTTTGCTCTTGCTACAATATTAGGTTGCCGCAGTCAGGTAGTATTAAAAAAATATACAACACAGCTTTACCAATTCAACTGGCCATTTAAACAATATTGTTTATTATTACGATCGTTTACGTTTGTTGTTTGAAGAAATGTAAATATGGAAATACAGTTCCGTTAGAAGCAAAATACGAGACGAAACCCGAAAATTACTTTCACACGACAGATTAGTACATTTCGTACTGAAAGAAACCATAAAATACATGAATCTTTATTATAAACGACAAATACATGGATTGGTATTAATCAATTACATATAACGCTTCAAGGTATATTTTTGGAATTTACAAAAATGCTCTTAATTGATCCCTTTTAATTGGCTTTTGTATATGGCTATTTCCGAAGTACACAGAAATTATCTCTTAAACTACGCCTTCTCATTTCTTCGACAATTAACTGCATTCACATCGGATCTGAACGCTGAATCTCAACGTCCTAAATCTTACACACGGATTCGATTTTCTGCTCGCTTCGGTAGGCTTTCTGATCCGAAAATTCGGATTCGGTGTGAATACACTTTTAGTAGATGCTCCTTGAGTGGATTAAATAACTACGGGCTGAATTGTAACCAGTGACGTATCAAGCACCCCCTAATCATTCAGGCCCCCCTCCACTTCACCTTAGCGCCCACCCCATCATCCCCCATTTCCAACAAGCTTTCAAAAATTCCTCGAAAGTTTAAGGCATGTGCATACAATCATGTTGTGGTCTGCATTATATCGCTTATTTGTATACCCCCTGACATCGTTACACTTAAAGGTATACGGTACGTAGGGTATACGGTACCGTAGGCCTGTAAGCCTACTGTAGATCTAATTTGTAGTGTTACAGTCGCTGGACTGGAACAATTGCAGCCAACATATAGACCGTTTGGTTTATATACGGTATGCCTTGACTTGACATGGACATTTATTTAAATTAATGAAATGGCATATTTTATTCATTGTCATATAGGAAATTTTTGCATTTACCGCGATTTTGTAGGCTTACTGATTAGGCCTATGCCTGTTTGTGATTTTTCTGTTTTCAGATTCTGCCTCAATAGTTTGAAGAACAACCTAAATAAATTTATTTTATTAATTAACTCCCTTAATTTACAAAGCTTAGGTCTACTTTCTAGCTTAAATAACCATCATCACAAATCTTTGAAAATGGTAGGCCAACAAGAGATTCACAATTCAAGGCCTATATGATTGTGGCATCGTCACAAATCTTCGAAAATGGGACAACTGAACATGATGTTTATCTCAATGTGATAATAAATATTAGACATATGTATGTAACTTATGTCACCGGGATTAGAACCGAAGAATTCCCTGATTACTTTTGCTACTGTACCACACCTTTGGATTTTCCCATTAGGATACCGTACATTAATTGTTCTTAATGTAGGCCTTTTTCGTACTAACCAATAAGATATTTGAACGTGCGTTTTTACATTAACCTTTTAACAGTCTCTTGCCTCTCATCAATTTTGAGGCATGGGTGACCAAGCCTAATTTCTTCGAAAAATAAAGAGAAGAAGCAAAATCCAAGATTCCCATAGGGTTCACATAAAACAAAAAAATGTTTGTTTCAACGTGCTCACCGGAAGTTCAACTGTCCAATGCAAAGTTTGTAGTATAATCTAATGGACGTTGACATATTTGATGATAGGGTCTGTGATGATGACAAGCAGTCGACGACGAGAAACCACATTCCGAGGTATTTACGATATTTTGATTGCCAGCATCAAAACAACGCATGCATTAGCACTCTTTCTCTCACCGATGCTAACCTTTTTCGGCTTGTTCCTATTATCCATACGCTGAACTATATTTACGTCACTTCTGCTTTTCTGGAAATCTTAATGAATGTTATTTATTTTCGTAAACATTCCTTTTAGAACTTGTTTCATTTGCTGTGACGTTGAACTTTTTCTTCGCTGTTTGTTATCCATCGTTTTTCTCCGTCGAACCTCTCGAACAAGTTCATAGAAGGCTTCATGCCCATTTCTATCACCTAAACAAACCGATGTTTCAAAAAATGCACATGCTAAATCCTCAGCTAATTTTTCTCCTTCTTCGTATGACACTTCACGATTGTGTTCCAAATCGGTTTTATTTGCCAATATCACCATGGATACATTACGCGCTTTTTTAACTTCGTCCAAATAATTTTTAATTCGGAGAACTCCATCAAAACTACGGCGGTCTGTGACGCTGTAGATAACTAGAAATCCCTCACCCCACCGTATTTGACCCTCACGATGATTATCACCTGTCTCTTATACACATCTTTCGGATTCGGTGTGAATACACTTTTAGTAGATGCTCCTTGAGTGGATTAAATAACTACGGGCTGAATTGTAACCAGTGACGTATCAAGCACCCCCTAATCATTCAGGCCCCCCTCCACTTCACCTTAGCGCCCACCCCATCATCCCCCATTTCCAACAAGCTTTCAAAAATTCCTCGAAAGTTTAAGGCATGTGCATACAATCATGTTGTGGTCTGCATTATATCGCTTATTTGTATACCCCCTGACATCGTTACACTTAAAGGTATACGGTACGTAGGGTATACGGTACCGTAGGCCTGTAAGCCTACTGTAGATCTAATTTGTAGTGTTACAGTCGCTGGACTGGAACAATTGCAGCCAACATATAGACCGTTTGGTTTATATACGGTATGCCTTGACTTGAGCAAATTCATGCTATTCGTAGATCTACTACTGTAATTACCATAGAGTGTTTTAATATTCAATTAGGTCTCATTTATCAAATGCCAATTGTAAATAGGCCATATACTTAATTGCCCATTTCCTTAAAGAATAATGTTGCATTCTTTGTTTTTATTGTTAATACCATTGGCATATCTGGGGGAGGGGGGCTCATGTCCCCCTTTGGGCAAGAACAAATTCTAGACCTACCTTTTCAGGAACCGTGAGGTGGAATTTTTGTTACAATGAGAAAATTGGAAGTCGGGAAATCTATATTCCCGTGGCGACATCTAGGAATAAAATTTTCGCGGGGAGGACCCTGAAAACCCCTTTCTGATCGCTTGTGATGTCATTGATGGATGGTCAATGAGCGTATAAGTTTAGTAAAACAATTAACTAAATTGTTAATCGATTCATGGAAAAATGATACGTATGCAACGTATGTATACAATTACACACATAATAGGCCTATAAAATAAGAATGAGAAAAGTTGACCTGACCGTTTTCAAGAGGGAAAAACCTTTAATTTTAAAGAACTTAAAGTGTCATTAAAAGACATTTCAGAAGTCGGCAAAGATCAATTCCCGCCATATAGGAATCAAAATTTTCCCGGGAGGACCCCGAAAACCCCTTTCTGATCGCTTGTGATGTCATTGATGGATGGTCAATGAGCGTATAAGTTTAGTAAAACAATTAACGAAATTGTTGCCTGGTAATATTTTACTCTATAGGGCCTAGCCTATTTGTATAATGAAGGCACGGTTTTGTCTAGGACCATGGTTTTTGGCCAGTACGGTAGGTCTATTTTACTTATTGTATATCCATTATATAAATGTGAAGGGAAATTCAGTTATGTAAATTGGACATTTTTTCTAATTTACTATAGGCTCTTATGAATTTTAGCTACAAACTGATCACAAATAGAAACGATGTGGCCTTGCGATTTCAACTTTCATTTTTAGGAATTTTCGTTTCCTTGAATTCCCTACACTCATTTTAAACGGTATTTATGAACTTGGCCACAGGGGAATGTGTTGTGATCTTTTAAATTTGAAAAGTATAATTTAGAAATATAAGACAATTTGAGAATTATTGTTATCATCACCATCATTATTGTTATGGTTATGATTATCATCATCCCCATCATCAGTTATCATCTCAAACCTACCAGATTTTCCAACACTCGAGTTGCCGAGTACTACTAATTTGCATTCTGATATTTTAGTGTTGGTAACGGTGTTGCCTCCGTGATTCGGGGCAGGAACCGATAGCCGAATCATGCCGTATCGTCGTGTTACTCTGATATTATTATTCAGGTAGAAAATAACGACTTCTCCTTTTGACTAAACGGACCTCGGGCTATCCTCTTCCTTTGGTTAAGAACACAGTCTGTGTTAGTTTAGTCACTCTCCAAAACTCCTGTGAAAATAAATCCAGATTCTTGTTTTTCTATTCGGGTGCATTTTCGCATGAACTATTCAACGAGAAAAATAACATTCCATTATTTCTATCTAATTAATATGTGATGGTAGACATTTATTTTTGTATTATATACGGTATAAAACGATTTCATTTACAGTATGTCATTGGTCGTGTATGATAACAAACAAGTTTATATTCATAGTAAGTGTCTCATAAGATAGTACTGTATCATCTGCTAAGGATACACACGCCCACCGAGAGTTAGATCATTGTCATTTTCTTATATAGAACATTTACTATACATCCCTAAATATAATATAGGCCTAGGACAAATATAGCAATTGCAATAAACTTAAAATATAAATATAAAAATATGAATATAATAAACATAATGTTTTAGATGTATTTTGACTTTTGCTTTTTTTTTTTTTTTTAGAAATATACTATTTACATTGTAATGTAGTCCCGATACCTTATGTTTTCACGTGATTATCAATCTTCATAAACGAGACGATCATATCACTGCAAAATATAAACAATGTCGGTTTATATACCGTACCGGATGTAATTAAAGCTGTTACACTCTAGCCTAGGTGAAATGAGAGCGTCGGTTGGCCAGCAGTAAGAAAACGAGATTGGACGACATACACTTGGACAAGAACATTAGGCCTGCAACTGTCAATTCGTGTGTTGGTTTAACACACTGTAGATTTATTTTGATGTGACGTAATACTGTATACAGAGGACAGAAGAGTGCGTACAATACTACTACTACTATATATATATATATATATATATATATATATATATATATAAACCATATATTGTACTTATAGATAGCATGTTTAATCAGGTTTAATGATGACACTTCACCTTCGGCATCCGGATGTGGATGACACGTGGGCACCACTGAGGTGTATACGTCAGTGTGAAGAAATGTATAGTAAAATAAAATAAAACTAACTTTGTCCTTGTATCGAAATAGAAATAGTATACAGTACTTTGCTACAATGCGCATCATAAGCCGCCCACTGTCCCTGTAAAAGAGGCCAGCCTCCAATTTAGGTTCCATTGCAAATTTAGATTCCGCGCACCTAAATTCTATAAACTTGTAAGCTCCAAATAGTTTTAGTGAAAACTCACAGTTGGTAAAATACATTCTTATGGACATATTGTGTCACAGCCTAGGTAGTTACTCGTCCGATTATTCCACTTGTTCATTTACAGTAAATTTAAGACTAATCCAAAAAATGGTAAGGGAAGTTCACGTAACACCTGAGCATGGGTTTCCGCGTAGACAAGAGCCATCCCATGAGAAGTGACACATTTTCGTAAACGTGTATCACCGTAACATTAATTGTAAGCGGTTCGTTTTCCAAAATGCACTTCACCCGATTTTAATACAATTCCCTTATGTTTCTGGTGTCTTCTCGGATAATTTGGCTTGTGTGCACTTCAAAGAACCCAGTACGGTACATCTTTTCTAGACCAGTAGGTGTTACCCCGATGTTTCTGGTTCATACAGCCCCTTTTGTGGACAGACGAGAGATAGCTGGTACCGGTTTACCATCAGGTACGAAGAGACCCTTGGCTTATGGGAGCAGCAAGTTATTGTACGAGCTAGTCCATGGACACCTCGAGCGTTTTGAGACTTCGGTATAAAGGGGTATATAAATCGAACTACATTCCATTACAGTTAAGCTATCACAATAACAAATACAGACACGGTTTTCTGCTGGTTTCAACTAAAAACTCTATTTAATTGCCATTGGTTGATTGACAGATTCAACATCTGCCGCGTTCTGTATCGTGTTAGGCGAGAATTCACTATTTCATCTGCGTTTCCAATTGCATACCCATATATGTAAGTATTACATGTACAGTATCAGTATTGACTACCCTGTGTGACAACGTAGAATTAACATAGCTTTAAAACACAATTTCAAAAGCCAATTTTGCGCTCCACTCCATTACAGAAAGACAGGAAGTCCTTATGAAGACGCTCAACGTCATCTAGGGATTCTAAAGACCAATGATCGATGCGGAAAATACCTAAGAAAACACTTGACGCGCTCCACGTATTTGGTTCATATCGAACATAACAATAACAGACCATGATTGACATGGCTACGATGCGGTTTCACATGGAACATATCAGGCAGTGGCGTAGAAAAATATTTTTCATTGGGGGGGATGATTGGCGTGTTAGCCAGTGTCGTAACAGGCGCGGGGTGGGGGGGGCAGGGGGAAACTGCCCCTCCCTTGACGGTTTTTACCGGGCTGCCCAAGCCATCGTACCGGGCTGGGTAATAAGAGAAAAGAAAGAGGGGAGGGAAAGAGAAAGAAAAGAAAAGGAAAGAAAAAAAGAGAAAAATAAAGACAAGAATAAAAAGGAAGATATCATAATGACCAGACTCGCAACACCCTGCAACCCCTTCTCCACTTCAAAATCTCATAACTCCTTTGATCTATGCTGCCCGATGGCGTAACCA